AAATAATTAATTAAGATGTACAAAATTATCAATATATAAATTGATTTTAATATATTAAATAACATATATTAATTATAATCATTTTTAAAAATTAAATTAAATAAAATTAATATTTTTTAAACAATATTATGTAACTTTAACAAATTAAAGTTTGACATAATCACACCCATTGAGCATGCATGAAACTAGGATATGACTTAGGGCAGGACCTCAGAGTAAGAAAATTTTCTCATGCTTTATTTCAAATTTAAAAAACCGCATGATTAATTATTCCATTTCTATTTACTCAACTATTTGCCAGCACACCAAAAGGAGGAAATAATTATTAATAATATGACCTTTTTTTCTTCCTTTTCCTCACCCTTTCACTGTTTTGTTGTTGTGCTTTATAGTTATTTTTGTGTGCAATACATTTAATTTTCATTTTCATTCCAATGGTTTTTTTTTTTTCTATAAATGAAAAAACACTTCCCATTACTTAGAGATTTCTTATATCGCATTAGAAAGTTTTTCATATGATTTCATAGATTTTTTACTGTTATATTCTTAAAATTTTGGACACTTATAAAGAGTTATAAAACATATAATCTATACATATAATACATTATTTTTTTTAATAAGGATATGAATTTATTTACACACAAGTATTACATATTATATTTACATAAAATCACAATAATTTATTTTTTTTACTTTTAATAAATTTTTTAATTTGTAAGAGAAGTAAAAAAAAAACTCTACCAAACGCCCCTAAAATGCAAAAGAAATTAATGTAAAATTTAAAAAAGGTTAGCTTCTCCCTTTCACTCCATATGTTTTTATCCAAATAAGGAAAATATTTTCCTTACCCTCCTTCCCTTCTCACAAACTCAGGCTGTTATCGCGAGTGCCAGAACTAAGTTGAGCTATGGTTAGGCACATGTCTCACCATGGCTTTTGAAAAATTAAAAAAAAAAAAAAAATAGAGAGACTCGTCTCAAGATCTTAAGGGGAAAATGGTTAAAAGCTCTACCTTGAGTATATTTGCAACGAAAAAAAAGACTTGAATTTATAATAGGAAAAAAAATGCCCTACCTTTAATTTATTTTTGGTTCTGCCACTGATTATTTTAGTTAAAAGAAAAATTAAGAGTTCTTGAAATAACCATCCACTTAATTCCCTCACCCCAAATATTAAAAATGCAAATAAAACAAATCTTGGGTAGAAAATTTTTTAAGTGATGGGTGGTTATAAATATACAATATTTTGTTAAAATTATATAATTTTTTTAAAATAATTAATTAAAATAAATAAATAATGACAAT